AAAAAAAAAAAAAAAAAAAATCATTTTGGGAGACCATAATTGAATCAAAATTAACCATAGTTAACCACAGTATCCAAACATGCTAGTTTTCATTGTTCGTTTCCCTCTCCCTCTCTTTAAGATGTTGAAAGACCAATTTTTTATTGCTTTACACGAGTTATTCTATCGGTTAACTATTGTATTGCTTGACACGTTAGCATTATGATAGCTTTAATTGATTCTTGGTATTTAATATTTGATCTTCGGGTACTAGGTATTCTTTTTATCTTTTGCGTTTTAGTGATTCCTTTACTTCCAATTAAATTTAACGCGCTCACTTTAGTCATCCAATCCACTTGCGATTATAGTATTTAAGATTCTATTTTTCGTTCATTATGATCAATCGTTGCTTAAATACAATTCTGAACAGTGCTTTTCGAGAAGATTCGAGTCTGAGATCTTTCTCGTACTCGGCTAAAGACTACTACACATCATTAAGTTTTTACAACTGGACCATAGATCAATCCATGTATACAATTTCAAACAGTATTCAATGCTTTTCATCCATTTATATCAAAATTTATTGCAATTGATGGTGGGTTGACTGATTAATTGCTGCCATAATTTTTTGTTAAGGGCGTCTCCAATGGTTAGCTATTTGGCTAACTATTATGACGTGGACAAGAGAAAAGTAAGAGAGAGAGTAGTCACTAGCTACTAACAAATAGCTTATCTATTTCACGTAGCCCAAGATCATGTGAGAGAAGTACGTGGGTCCAATAGTGTAAAATAATTATTTTTCTTATCTCTCACATCCACATCAGCTAACCATATAGCTAATAATAGCTATTACCATTGGAGTTGCCCTAATAGAATTTTATAGGTAAGAGACAACTTAACCCAACAGCTAAACAGACAAGCCATAATGCAGTGGGGAGTAATTTTTTCTCATTCAGAATCTACCTATATAAACAGCCTGAAAATGCTACAGTCCCGTTGCGGAATCATTCCGTCATAATTTGTAACCGTTAGATCATCATGTAACCATAAAAAATAGTTAGATTCCGTCATAATTTGTAAACTAACTGATCATCAGGTAACCGTAAAAAATAGATGATCTTACGGTTACAAACTCCGACGGAATGGATCCGCAACGACACCGTAGAATTTCCTATAAAGAGCCCTCTCATAATGTTATCCTTTTCTTGGTGAGGTGAGTGATCACAGAAAAAAAAGGGTTCCCACTTCCCAGCCTAAACAATCCTCAACACCTTCATCGTTGTTGAATTTTGATCAAACTACCTAAACAATTGATAAAGATCCGATTTTTACATCCATTTTCCCGTTGATCGACGTGCTGAGTCTCAGATTTCTGTCTGGATTGAACCATTTTTGTATGGTTTTTCGTTACTCTTGCTCTGTTTTTGTCTGAATTCTTCGTTTTTTGATCTGATCTCGTTATCTTCGTGAGATGTCTCTCCTCCCCAAAAGCGACTCGATTCAAATCCGCGAGGTCTGGGCCCACAACCTAGACGAGGAGCTCGACTTGATCCGAGGAATCGTGGACGAATACCCTTACATCGCCATGGACACCGAGTTCCCCGGCATCGTCCTCCGACCGGTCGGCAATTTCAAGACAGCCAACGACTACCACTACCAAACCCTCAAGGAAAACGTGAATCTCCTCAAACTCATCCAATTGGGCCTCACGTTTTCCGACGAGATGGGCAACCTCCCGACTTGCGGCACCACCACCACCACCACCACCAAATACTGCATCTGGCAGTTCAACTTCCGGGAGTTCAACCCCAACGAGGATGTCTTTGCAAGCGACTCCATCGAGCTCCTCAGCCAGAGTGGCATTGATCTGAAGAAAAACAACGAGAAGGGAATCGACGCCCGGCATTTCGGGGAGCTCTTGATGTCGTCGGGGATTGTTTTGAATGATAGCGTGTGTTGGGTGACTTTCCACAGTGGGTATGATTTCGGGTATTTGATCAAGCTGCTGACTTGCCAGGATTTGCCTGATGGGCAGGACGAGTTCTTTAACCTCATCAACGTGTATTTTCCGGTGGTTTATGATATCAAGCACTTGATGAAGTTCTGCAACAGCTTGCACGGTGGACTGAACAAGCTGGCGGAGCTGTTGGAGGTGGAGAGAGTTGGGGTGTGCCACCAGGCGGGTTCGGATAGTCTGCTCACGTGTTGTACCTTCATGAAGTTGAAGGAGAATTTCTTTAGTGGCTCGTTGGAGAAGTACACTGGCGTGTTGTATGGCTTGGGCATCGAGAATGTGTAGGAGAGTGTTTGGGCATCGAGAATGTGTAGGAGAGTGTGTTCTTGAGAATGTGATACTCTTTGTATTTTTGTTTCATTTTTTGTATTTGTTTCGTGTGATGGTTTTGATATACATTTTTATCATTAAACGATGCTCCATTTGAAGCGTTTGTTTTTCGACTGCAAAAGTGAAGAAGTAAGATCACTGTTCGGATTATTAGACAATTTTTGCTGAAAAGGGTACGAATAAGGAAACATGCAGCAACTATTGTTCCCTTTATGTGCTTAAAATACATGGATTCATATGAGGTACAATCACAAGGTATATATATAAGACGTTCCACTTCAATGCTACTTTTGGCTGTTTCTGGTTCATTGGCACATCCATACACAAAATTTCGATGAATTGATCTACTCTGTGCATTTTTCATGAAATGGGAAGTCCGGCCAAAGGAGGGCAGATCTCAGAGGACGCTGTTTGCTAGAAGGCAAATAGATTTTTTTTTCCAGCATCCATGCCGAAAGCACTAGCAGGAAAAGTGTATGTGATCGCCACCGACCGAATAAATTTAACCTTTCATAGTGTTCACAAATTTCAATCTGCTGATTCACTATCGCCCTCTATCTCATCTGGTACGTGCAACTTCTCGATGGCAGCCTGTAAAAGATAGCAAGTAAATTGAGTGACGGTATCCTCAAGAATCAATATGGAAACTTAGCCAAAATTTTACAGAAAGTATCGGGTCATAAAAAGAATATTTCTCATTGTGCTATGACACCACACACAAGAACGTGGTTTGGTTACAATAGATACCCTTGAAAGAACATAAATTTGTTACCTTGATAGCAGCAACGTCAGTTGCAGAAGGTTTCAGATCCAATGCAATTCCAAAATGAAGCATTGCTTTATCATGCATATTCCGCCGCTTGTAGATGCTTCCCATTAATGCGTAAACACTGCTCTCACCTGGAGCATACTCTTTGAGCTCCTCAAGAACTGCTAAAGCCCCATCAAAATCATTCATGCTCACGAGGATGTTTGCCTTCTGATACAGAGGGAGCGGGTTCTTCTTATCAGCCAAAACAGCTTTTCCCATCATCTCAAGTGCTTCATTATTTCTCTGTCAAATTTTGAAAATACAAAGTCTGTTAAAATGAACTAAAACATAGAAAAGGTCAGAATTTTCTTAATATAAAATTTAAATCTGACCTTCAGCGCATGCAAAGCAGTCCCAAGATATGACATTATAACAGATGAAAGCGGGTTAATTTTGAAAGCCATTCGGAAATGGTGCTCTGAGAACTCGTACTTCTCTTGTCTGAGATAAATCATTCCCAGTCCATACCAGGCATTATAGTGCCTTGAGTCTACACGAAGAGCATTCTGGTAGCTCTTAACACCATTTTCAAAATCCTCCAAGGCCACGTATCTGTGAATAAAGCAATATATAAATTCTGGATTCAAAAGAAAATCAGTAGTGTGTGTCATCTACAAAAGAGGAGGACAAATTGTGAGAATCATACTCATGACCACACAAGGTGTGCGCATAAGCAAATCTTGAATTTAATTGCACAGATCGCTGGAAGTTTTTAAGAGCAGTTTCGTGGTCTTTCTGTAAGCTATAGCAGTTCCCCATTGCGCACCTGTCCAGGACATTAAAAATAAATAAATATATGAATAATTAGTAAGTAACCATATAATTTTAATGCGTACTACAGAAGGGTAACTACCAAAGGTGGGGAATGTTCAATTGATTAAACACCAAGCACCATGTCTAAGATCACAGAAGCAGAACAAAGCAAGCAAAGACATCAAGCGGACAAACCCAGTACATGCCGTATGAATATAAATATTACAATATAAATAAATAAAGCCAAAAAATTAATATCAAATATCTTCATTGCACTTGGAAACAAAGTTGGGTTGGAAGTACCAAGATTGAGGAGCTAAGCGGTCAGTGGATACCAGCTCCTGAGCAAGGTAACTCAACTTCATATCTTCCTTCAAATGCTAGAGATGGAAACAACAAGGGTTGTCAGTAAAATATGAATGACATGGATTACAGAGAAAAAGTATGGCAATCTAACCTCTGAAACAATCTGAGATATGAATAAATTAACTAGGAGGAACCAAATATCGCTACAGTCAGCCATCTAAAACTTTTCAGATAGAACCGAACTACTGTAGAGACAAGAAAGCATCATTCCAAATGAACAGTATGTTACTTATTGGTGAAAAGCTACACAAATTAATGCAGATGCTGGACCTTTGCTTCCACATTTCTGTTGGAGCATAGAAATCGAAGATAACATGATTCATGTTTATCTAGCAGGAATGACATTTAAGACCATTAAAACTAGAGTATGGCATCAGTCCTAAATAGAAGTAAGTCAGCCAGCTAACAATATCCATCATCACCACCGCCACCAAATTATATGCTATAGCAACAAAGAAATATACAAAACTGATTTGAACACGTGCACAATTGTATGACAAATGCATTCGATTACTAGAAAGGAGATCATTACAAATTTATAGAGGCAGTTTCTTTTAGACTTTACAAGATAAGGACATGACATTGAAACTAATCAATGACCTATTAAAATATTTGCCAAACTTACATATAAAACTGTAGAGTATATGTCCATCCCCTCCAAACTGAACGGAGAGGCAATACGTGCAAGACTGAAGGCACGGTCAGCTTCAAGATAATCAACCATTTCAAAATATGCTTTTCCTACCTGTCTTTCAATGAATTCATATGATGCCACATGGTCAGTTACAAAGTAAGGGCACCAAATCAGACATTTCACACAAGCAAAGGATTTTCCACCAGATATTAATTGTTTAAGTACATTACCTATTGGACCAGAACTGTATTAACTAATTTCGAAAATCTGCAAATGAGGATTGATACTACACCAGTTTACTAGTCAAATCTGTGTAGGAAGAGGACTCTTGTGTTTATATATAAAATATTTCAATCCATACTCAAGGTTTAACACAAACTTTAACCCAACTCCACTATCCACTCACATAATTTTAACTAACCATCACTTCACGTTATCTCTCTCCTATTTTTAAATCAAATCAACTTTAATTATTTGTTTTAATTATTATTTTAATATAAACTTTAAATTTCAAAAATAACTAACCATACCACCTTTTTCAAAATTAACCCTGGTTGACAAAAAAAAACTCATTTTAAGCGGATATATTTGTACCCAAGCACGCCCTCAGAGTTTTGGTTTAATTATTACCACCAAAGTACAGAGAAAACTATGTTTCAAAAAGTTTTCAACTTCATGCACTTCAGGCTGGTACATGAGTCACCAAAAATGATAGAGAAAGCAAAGTTTCAAAAATAATTTGAATTCACAGTTCATCTATTATACTCCTATTAACAAGTATTTCATTTGTAATTAGCAAAGCCTTGTCTCTTTCAGAACTTGGATTCTAAATTATCATGTAACATGAGAATGAAATCGAAATAAATATCTCGAAAGCGAGAGACGAAAATAGTATTGTTTAGCGCTTCTGCAATTGGATTATATATGTGAAGGATGCCTTAAAAATCAAGTGTATGCAAGACCTGTATGGTAAACTGGTCTGTCATCCATTGCTACATGGGCAAAATAGTCTGGCAAGTAAGACAAGCTGAGCAAAATAGGACAATGTTCTATCTCCAAAATAGTAAGAGGAAATGAAAACTGAAAAGTTTACCTGAGAAAGCACCCATCCAGTATTATAATGTTTTTGGGGAAGTTTCATGTAGACATTCAATGCATCCTGCGTCCAGCACAAGCATAACAATCATTTACATGGTGAAAAAATCAATGTCAGGCTCCATTTCTTCAGGACGTTAACTACCTGGCATCTGCACAGGCAAGAAAGTCTGAGGCCTTCCCCTAGAATCCTTAATAAACCCAATATATCAGAAGCACCATCTATGATTCTTGAGCTGCTCAAAACAGCTGCACCTGAAGACCTGGTTTCTCCTTCTTGTTCAATAGACCTATTATCTCTAGAGGGAGATGAGCTTGTAGTAGTGGTATGCAATCTAGAATCATCATACACGTCATGATGAGTCCCTATAAGGGAGAAGTTCATTAATTGGTTAGGTATGAACAAAAACAGCAACAAACTGGCAGCATCAGTTTTTGGCAAATACTCCATATAGAAATCAGAGGCTAAAACTATAATAGAGTGAAAATGTTATGCAAGATTAGTTACCTTCATCAGCATTCTCGCCTGCCCAGGATTGACCCTTACGAATTGTCACAGACCGTGAAACCATGGAGCTCAACTTTGAACCTCCAAGAAACTTGGTAGAATGGCTTACTCCATTTCCAGAAGCTACAGATGAACTTGAGTTGGTGCTGGCAGACTCCCCAGCAAGTCTCATGCTTCTTCGCTGTCCAGAATCAGAAAAGAGCCTCTCCGATACCTGAACACATAAGGATTAGCAATTCTCAATAACAAAAAGGAAAAAAAATATTGAAAAGAGAAGAAAGAAGCATGCCTAAGTTGATAAGGGTTGAACTTCCTAAATATAAAGCAGAAGAATAGGTTAAATAAACAATTGCCAACACTAAATCAGATTACTAACACGATTATGTCGAATATGGGGGGAGTCGTAACTTCAAGAATTTCTTTTAAAAGTACAAAAGGAGAAATGGAAAATCTTGCCACCATGAATTTAAAAATTTATATAATCATATAACATGCTGTTAAGCAAATGTTTGTACAATCTGCGACAAGAACTATAAGCACTCCATAAATTGTATCTTCTAGAAGTTACCCAATAGGAGTTCCAATGCTATAATTACACTGAAACATAAGAGCTTAAGTTAAAAATGAAAACTATAGGACACATGACATGGATGTGCTATCTGCAAAACTGATACGCTAGTACTGACGTTATGCAAATTCAAAGAACGAAAAACGATTGTAGGAATACAAAACAAAGTACAAAGAAGATCTGAATCCATGCAGGTAAAGATATTGGAATGATATATATATATATATATAATTATATATATATATATATAAAGAAGCATTAAACTGTTTTAACCTTTCTTAGTTTTCCCTCATCAACAATCTTTCTTCTAGGGCCTGCAACAGAGTTGACAGCCACTCGTGGAGAGTTATCAGAAGCATATGCTTTCATGGTTGGACCATTTGGTTGTAAGTTTCTACATATAGGTGGTGGAGCCAAACCTGACAACTGCAAATATGCAATAGTTAGAAAAAAAAGGCTAGAAAAGGAATACGCGCACATGCTGTACATGATTATACCTGTGAATGTGTAGCCATAGGAGAAGGAGTATTATAATATGGGAAACTTGCAGAACCACCATTTAGAGGCTGATTAGAAATTGTTCCGTGATTGTTGACAGAAATATCTCGTAGGCTATGGTTATGAAGGTTCTTTAACTTTCTTGGGCTAATATCTTCTGAGCTTAAGATTCTGTTTGAAGAAATTTCATGCTCCTCATTTGGTGCCTGCAAACTCTGAGAGGCCAATCCACGATTTAGGTATTGTTTCTGTATGCACAGAGAAGCTCCTTGATCAAAGACAGAAGTTGCTTCATCTGCCGCACCTAAAACAATGCAAAGTATCTAGTTAATAACATAAATAATACAGAGGCTATCCATCAGCAGTATAATTAAACTAAAACTAAATTGATTAAATAAAAGCTCAGAGCAAAATGGTGACAATTAAGCACTAGACACAATTATGACATGAGCACTCATTTCATGCAATTGTTACTGAGGATCCTTGGGTTTACCAAGAGGACCCAGAGAAACGAGATGGAAGCACATATGAGCAAATATGCACCTGACATGCAGTGGTTAAGTTATAAGACAATTGCACACATCTCCAGTCCAATAGTTAGAGGTCAAATTGATTTTGTTCATTCATACCTAATATACAAAGTTCTTCATAAGCAACCCATAATAGTGGATCCAATGATAAGGCCTGATTGAAGTGATTGATAGCACTCTGCCTTCTGTCTGTATACCTGAAAACAATTATTACATATGGCAATAAACATCTTGAAGAAAACAGTAGTTTTCATTACGTCCTGCCTGCCACTACACTCATCACATAGTTTGTGCAATCTCCAGCACAAACCATCATGGATCTCCATTATCTTGGAAATTTCACAAGATTTTTAATGAACCAACCAAATCTATTTGACAATTTTCACCAATGATGAATCTGAGATATATGTTCACATTTGACCTTTTCTTTTCATGTTTGATAATGTTTATCAATGTTTCTATTTTAAGATGCCATCGCACCAGAAATTTATCAGAAGAGTCTTTCTCCTTTTATCCTGCTTAGTTGGAGGTTGGATATGCGTTTTCCAATTTGATGAATAAGAAAAGTGTCAGGATCCACATATGCGGCGGACCTCATTTATGGGCAACATATTTCTATAGGATTGAGGAGATGACGGCGCAGCTTTAAAGTCGAAAAATAATAGAGATGCTAACCTCGTGATAAAATGAGGGCACAATCATTTATCAATCTCATGTACAATCAAATGTGGTAAAAAACATTCATCAAGTTCTCCCATTCCCGAAGAGGGAATTATCTAAAAACTCCATTCCAATTCTTTGAAATAAGATTAATGCAATTAATACTTCAGAATAGTTTCCAAAACATATGGTGCACAGTTGTCAGATTTACTAAAATTGGACCTATGAGGTTTCAGAGTATAAGGTCTATACTTGGATAGTACCAAGATCTCTTAAACCAGTTATTCAAGATAATATCTCGGATTTGAATAATTAAAAAGCAACTACACATGATTCATGATGGTGCCACGAATTTAGGGTCAGAAAAAACTGTTTTACATACTCAAATGCCATAAAGAAATATTCAGAAGTACATAGTTACTCCAAACACACCCATAAAAGGAAGACTTGATTACTGTAATTGAGTTGTTTTGGACAAAACACCCCACGTAGATGAAGAAGAGCACATGTTAGAACCTGTATACAAGTCCAAGAAGGTAATGCCCAGCAGCCCCATTTGGAACCTGCAACAAAAAATGATCGTCTGGTCACTCCACCTATGTGAATAATCATTTTAACTAAAAATGTCCTTTTATCTAAGAACATCACAACCCAAATACAATGCTATAATCTTCATAACAACAAGTTACAAACTCAAATGTAAATAATGGAGGGCAGCAGGTGTTATTACTGAGTATAATTATCTAGACACACTTCTTAGACATTTCTCATGTGCATACCTCTGCAGAAGACTCATTAGGAGATAGTGCAGCTTCTGCTTCATTCATTAGATCCATCTGAAAGCACGACAGTGCAAACAAGTAGCGGCATTGTGCCATTTGTGTTCCTTAAAACCAAAGACAGTATGAAGATCCCTTTCCACGAAATGCAAGATTCAATAATAGAACCCCACAAATGAGTAACTGGTCAAATAAGTATCATACCCTTTAAGATATGGTAAGCACAGTGTGCTTGATTGTTTTGTAGGTAACAGCTAGCAAGCAGGGACAAATTTTTCTGCAACCAAAACCACAATCAACCCAAAGGGAACAAAGCCGTTAAAACCAAATTTAGTTCAAGACTATAACTAAAATGTAATTCTTATAAGTCACTAAAAAGCATGAGCCTGAAAGTATAAAAGAACAGGCATATATTGGAATTACAAGTGTGACTTTCAATATGCATCAAAACTATGTATTCCATGCAGTGAACATCATCACACAAGAACCAGAACATATTTCTCATTCAAACAAACAGTGAAAGTTCAACAGATTGTCCATGATGCCATATCAGAATTCCACTTTTAACATCAACCTCAATCAAGTCAAACCCTGAGCTTTAATTTCCTTCCTTAAAAAAAAGAATCAGATCCAATACTCCAAATCCACATGTTTCTCCTAAACTATTCTGCGTTATATAAAAATAGCCTAGAATATAGATGTACAGCTTGAGAACAAATTCGTCCTCGGTCTCTCTATATAGAGAAGGCTCAGGAATAAAAAACAAACACCTTATTTCATAATCACAATAAATATGAAGTGACATTTACAATAGTTTGGCAAACAATTCAAGCACCATATACGCAAATTTCAAGTATTCAGCTGAATCTTGAACTGCTGGCAACAAAAACGGAGAAGTTTAATGCACCAACGACAAGGCAGAGGAACAGCCGAAACTAGCTTAAAATCAAGATTCTATCATTCTACAACTGCAATTTGCTCAATTGGTGAACTCCTATACCGAATACTAATATTGCAGACCTCAGAAGGAAACTCAGCACATAGGCGCTCGCACATGAAAATGGCATTTCGATACATTAGTTGCTGTAAGCTGTTCCGTACAGAGTCCGCAAGAATAGCCTCCATGTTTACCGAGCATCAAGATATGTGCTTCAATCAATCGACGGGAAATTGTGAGATCTTGAGATGTGGAGATGACGCCTGAGAAGAAAATTCACCCTGAAATTTGAAATGCATACGCGGATTGAGAGCCCAAAAGAGAAGAATTTGGGGTGATGTACAAACTACAGCTCCGTGAAGAATTCAGGGTTTTAAGCATGAAACAACAAAGAATTCTTGTCGGAATCATCAAAATCTACTCAAACACCCCAATTGAATCAAAACCCTAATTAGCTGTGCATAAATTTGAATATTTTCAAATTGCTTTAATCCCACCGTTGGGACACTGCAATTTAATTTTAACCCCAGGTTTTATTGAATTTAGTTTTTTCGCCCACTTAAGCCTAAAATTCTCTTTTCAGTCTCGCAGGCCATTTTTTATTTTTTCCACAAAATTATTGTTTAGGAAAATGATTCATAAATGATATTTTGGATAGTTAGAGATTATGGTTGATAATATTTTGGGATAGAGTTGGTGTGATTATGGATGATATTATTTTTCATAAACTTGGTTAGTGATTATGGATGATAAATGTTAATCTAATTTTTTATAAATTCTAACTAAAAAAGTCATAATTAAAATGCAATATTTCCATTTCTGGTTGGTTTCGACATCGTTATTCCTCTTTGGTGGTTGGTTGATTTTTGGTAATTTGGTGGTATCGAATCTCCACTTTTATTATCAGTGTTACTTTTTTTTTTTTTGTCAATCTAGTTCAAGTTCATATTTTTTGCAAGATATAAAAATTCATGTGATATTTCATCGAAGTTTTCAGATGTATGAGTCTTAGGCTTGTGGATTTATTTTCATTATCGGGAGTAGTAGCTAGCTTGCTGGATTTTTCAATTTATCGCTTTGTGAATGTCAATTTAATAACCGACTGATTATGACTGTATGATTACCGATTGATTATGACTGTATGATTATGTCTCTAGCTATATATTTTAAACCGTTTTTCTAGAAAGCTATATACTAGAAGCTTGCTAGGAATTATGCAATTTGTTTGTTAGGAGCATGCAAGGAATTTTATTTTTCTTGATACATGTTGTGAAAAACCTTCCCCATACAATGACTGAGTGGTTTAAATGAATTTAATTGATTAGTTTGGTCTCCATAATTGGTGTTTAAATAAGGTGTTTGTTGATCGTTGGACCTTGGGAGTCTCATTCTAACATATGTTGCACTCACAAGCTTACTATATAAGACATTTACGCAAAAGGATTTGTTCTTTAGGTGAAGAGTGTGGCATACTCGTGACCTTGGGGTATCCTCCCTAACGAATATACTATTCATGAGTTAACTGATAACGATTAATTTGAGATAAGCGTAAAAAATTATTTGCAAGCGATGTGTCTTCTCTTTCGGTGACCTCACCGAATTGTGGATGATTGTCACTGAGATTAAATTTTGGTCATCACTTAGATGTAAATTTAATATAACTTCCCAAATTCACATGGTCAGTATTAAGTTTTGACTATCAATTCATTTATCATAAGAATAGGTTAACGTGCAATTGAAATTAATAACTAGGTGTCACATTGATGGACATATGTGTAAACGTCCACCATAATGTGGCTTACATGTGTGTTTGTTGGAGTTGTCAGGCATCACATTAAGTAATGGTTTTGAGGTTCACATGTTTTATGCTTCAATTCTATGTGAATCATTGCTTACGTGCTTGCAATTATTTATTTATGCCATTCATCATGTCATTCAATCCTCTTATGGTCATTTTCAGTCAAAATAATTGTAGTTGTCCAAATTATTTAGACTAAAAGAGGAATCTGGACATTGTTCTTATTGTAGAAGAGTACAAGTTTGTGTTTACAACACAAACTAAGCAAGCTAGAATCTCTGGCTTGCTACTTTCACGTGATGTATGAGCCAACACAGAAATGAGTTGCTGGAGAGCATCGCCTTCCCAAATTCGCGGAAAGTTGGTCAAAAGTGTTTAGTTGACGTGGGTTATTGCGCATGCCCAAGGAGATCTCTTTGGGATTGGAGATATAATGATATCGCTTAAGTCTCTTAAGATTAGATCAAAGTAACAGCTTGGGAAAATGGCTTTTTTTTTTTTTTTAAATTTATGCTGGACGATGCAAGGCTCTCGTTCGATTCCTTCTCAAGGTCGCGTAAATCGAGTTAAACCGATGGTGCAGAAATTCTACTGTCATTTGTGGAGAAGAAATTGTTGAAAGAACAAGAGGGTCATGGGAATGAAAGCCTTGGAGTACGAGTTGTACTCTCGAGCACAAACGAGGTGGAACAAGAGAATTTGGCTAGTCCTAGCTTTCAAGTTGTAACTCCAGTACAATACTGTACTGGTACAAAGAATTTTCTTTCGTCGCAAAACGTCAATTGATAATTTTTCTTTCTTACTGCATCATAACTGTACTTTGGGTTGTTAGACGTTGGTACCTGGAAGATGTACCTTAAACATCAAAATGTTCACAACCTGGTCTAACTTAACTGGGTCATAATAACTCTACCCGCACAAAAAAAAAAAAAAAGAAATAAATAAATAAATGAGAAAATTAGTCCATAAGCAAACGTATGTGCTGTATACGCGAATGCATTAACAGGAAAAGTCAGGATCTGTCGTCCATGGACAACTTGCAGGAAATATTAAAATAACCAATAAAACATGAATATAAACTGCATAAGAAGGGCTGTAAACGAGCCGAGCCGAGCTCGAGCTTAAGGTGTTTGAGCTCGAGCTCGAGTTCTTAACGAGCCGAGTTCGGCTCGGCTCGTTAAGTAAACGAGCCAAAAATCGAGCTTGAGCTCGGCTCGTTAAGGCCTCGAGCTCGAGCCTTAACGAGCCGATCTCGAGCTTTAACGAGCCGAACTACAAAAAATTACATAAATTTCACTTTCGAGCCTTATCGAGCCAAGTCGAGCCGAGCTCGGCTCGTTAACCAAACGAGCTTTAAATGAGCTCGAGTCGGCTCGTTAAGGCTTCGAACTCGAACCGAATCGAGCCTTAACGAGCCGAGCTCGAGCCGAGTCGAACCAGACTCGTCATAACCCTGCGCTAAATTATCCACTTGAAGTTGATCTTATTGTTAATTCCACACATTGCGGTGAGCATGCAAATGAAGTTCAGAAAAAAATGGTTGACATACAAAAAGTCGTCAGCCCCACACAACAGAAGCTAGTTATTTGATAATTAAAAAACACACTATCTTTTATATTGTATGTTTATTTATTCTACTTGCAGCCTCAGAGAAAGAACAAGTAACAGAGAGGTCCGAACATGGCGGCTTATGCAGCTCTTGTTTCACTCACGCATATCATCAAACACCTTCAGCACCATCCCCGCCATCCGATTACTCTCGATCAAAAACATATCCTCTCTCTCACCCAAAACATTACTTTCTTGCAAGATTTCCTTGAGAGTAATTATTTCGTTACCAATAAAGATGCCTTGGAGAGTCGTATAACTGATGTAGCTTATGCGGCAGCGGAGATGATCGAATCCCATGAAGTCCGCCAGATTCTTGCTGAATTATCCACAAGCCCCAGTGAAGAAAAGATGGCTTCTGTTGATTTTCGTCATCTCCTAGAGAAAGTGATACAAGATATGGATTTGATCAAGGAAGATTTGACCGGAGTCCAGCCGGACCACGGCAAGTCAACGCCGGCGGGTCGCTCAAAAGCTCATCCGGCAATCCACAAAACCATGGTGGGGTTCGATGGGATCAAATTTGAGGTCATGGATAAGCTCACCCGACCACAAACTGACCGTCAGATCATCCCAATTTCAGGCATGGGCGGGATAGGTAAGACTACACTTGCTAGAAATATCTATTCAGACCCCCTCATCAGGCAGCACTTTGACATTCTTGCATGGGTCACGATTTCTCAAGAATACAGAGTGAAGGAAGTTCTTTTAGACGTCATCCTCTGTCTGAAAACAGTTGGTAATAATACTACTGATGAGTTGAACCAGATGAGCGAACATAGATTGGGAGAAATGTTATACAAAAGTTTAGTCGGTCGGAAGTATTTCATCATGATGGATGATATATGGAGTATTGAGCCATGGGAAAAGGTGAGATTCTTCTTTCCAGATAATAACAATGGAAGTAGGATACTGGTGACAACACGGTTATCTGACTTGGCCTCTCAATTTGCGACTACTTTTGGCGTAGAGATGAATTTTCTTGACGAGGATAAAAGTTGGGACCTATTGTGCGATACCGTGTTTGGAGAAGAAGATTGTCCTTTGGAATTGGAGAACGTCGGTAAAAAGATTGCCAAAAAATGCAACGGCCTTCCATTGTCACTCGTCGTGATTGGAGGACTCTTGGCAAAGTCCAAGCCGGCACGAAAATACTGGGAACATGTTTTGGTAAATTTAAACGCGATGGTGAATTTAGAGGACGACGAGCGATGTTTAAGAATATTGCACATGAGCTATGACCAGTTGCCGGTTCATTTAAAGCCATGTTTTCTTCACATGGGAATGTTTATGGAAGGCTGTGAGATTCGTGGCCCTAACCTCATCAAGGCATGGGTTGCCGAAGGATTTCTAAAACCACATTCCGGTAAAACCTTGGAGGTTTTAGCGGAAGAGTATTTGGAGGACCTTGTCGCAAGGAATCTAGTTCTGGTCCGTCGAAGGGGGCCCACTGGAAAAATAAAACTATGTGCTGTTCATGATCTGTTGAGGAACCTTGGAGAACGAGAAGCAGAAAGACAAAATTTCCTCTGTGCAAGAAGAGGGCATAATCTCAGCCTTTTTACCATATGCCGTGTTGCCCCTTATCCTCTGAGTCCGGATGTCTTTAATCCCATGTATTCTACCTCTTTCATGCATGCGCTCGTGTGCAACAATTCGAAAGGCCTACCCATTTCGAGAATCGGGTTGCTGAGGTTGTTGAATGGGTTTAACAATGTATATTCTTTCTCAGCCGAAGATGTTTCTCAGCTAGTTAACACACGGTACCTAGCTGCCCAACTTAACTGGATCCATCCACAGATACGTGGATTTCCTTCTTCCGTCTACTTCCTTGCTAACCTTCAAACGCTAATTGTTCTTAATAAATGCCGAATCAGCTCGCCATTTGTAATCTGGAACATGGCTCAAATTAGACATGTCCAGATCGACTCGTTTTGCCTCTCGGCTCCTCCTCCTCCTCCTCCTCCTCCTCCTCAAGGGGACACCGTTTTGGGGAACCTACAGACGCTCTCCACAGTAAATAACCTGGAGTTGAGCAAAGAGTTTGTCAAGAGGATCCCCAACATCAAGAAATTGAAATTACATTTCGACGGGAAAGAGGTGTCCTGTTTGCATCTTGAAAATCTCGTCTATCTACGTGAACTCGAATCCCTTTCCATAAAATTGCCCATCTCATCACTAGTGAGACAAAATGAGTTGCTGCCGATCCCATCATGCCTCCCGCATTCGCTCACGAAGTTATCTCTCGAGAGCTGCTATCTCGATTGGGAGGATATGGGCACGAAGATAGGTAGCCTGCCCCTTCTCCAGGTGCTCAAGCTGAGACTGTGTTCCTTTGTGGGGCCCGATTGGGAGACGGATGAAGATCAGTTCCAGTGCCTCAAATTCTTGCTGGTTGAGATGTGCCAAGGTCTCGAGTGCTGGAAAAGTGAGAGCGCACACTTTCCGCAACTCGAGCACATTGTGTTGAGAGGATTGCGTGAGTTGAAGGAGATCCCTTTGGGTATTGGAGATATACCAACGCTTAAGTATATTGACTTGGATTGTTGTAGTGATTCAGCTGTTATTTCTGCTCGACATATACTTGATGAGCAGGAAGAACTCGGGAATGTAGGCCTTCAAGTTCGAGTTCGCCTTTGGAAAAAGAATCGGGAGCTGGAGAGCTTGGCGAGTGATGTCTTTCAAGTAAAGATCAGGTAAGAAGTGAACCTGCCTTGATTTAACCTTCTTCTTCACATTTTTCACCTGGGATATATTGTAACTCAAAGCATATATTTTCTTATATATCTGGTAGCTTTGTTGATAGTGATTATTGCAATGATTTCTTTACTTGTCCTGCTTTTTTCTCCTCTCTTCACATTTTTGGGTCACTTGCTTCTTCTTTTGAGAGCCGAGAATCATTAACAAAATAAATTTCAGTCCAATTTTTGTCAAACGGATGTGAAACGGTAGCTAATATTGATCGACAAGTTCTCATGTTTGCAAAGATAAGTTCTTATACAAATTGGTAGAAATAGTTGTTGTCCTATGCCTATACATGTTTATTTCATTTTTTTTTAGTCATTTCCGAAGGGAGAATGAAAATGATGTCGGGAAATGACAATTTCACGACAGCTTTTCAACCTAAAATGGTCATTTCCTGTCGAGAAAAGGCTAAAAAAGATGTTTGACTTTACATAAATGGCTAAAAATCTGTCAGATTGTAATTCCTATCCCTTCATTGACTAGGGATGGATACCTCAACGAGGAGTGAAGGATTTGATATCGGAAGGAGAAACTTTTAGTGAAAGGCCTAGCATATGCCAAGATGCAGAAGTTATCGTGCGCCCCAATACTTTTATCTCTGCAACAGCCAAATCAGAGATGTTACACAGAACACAGATTAATTCTTCGAATACTCCATAAACATGTGCAACTTCTTACAACTTTTCTTTTTTTAGCGACAGATTCATTCTTCGAGTGCTCGTGTACACTTGTTAAACCATCGTATTTTTCGTTATGTGAACATGTTTTCAACTTATTGATCAAGAAGTTTGAATTATGTTATCAACCTATTGATCAAGAGTTTCGAATTTCTTTTCGGGTTTCAGTTATGTGTTCTGTATCCTGTATTGAGTCAGTGTGATGCTATGAATTATGATACAGAGTGTGTGATCAAATTAGGTTGATTCCTTCTTGTTTTACATGATAACTACTGGCATCATATATGAGCTCTTTTGTTTCGTGTTACAACAGAGCCTGTTTGGTTCTCAAACAAATTAGGACACAATCATAAAATGGAGCCAATGGAGAGAAATCTCCCCTTCTACACACACATCTTAGTCATGCTGGCTTTTGTTTCCCAATTAAATCTGGTCATTTCTCTATTATTACGACACCGTCCAAATTTTTTGTCCTAGTGCTCATACATTACTTAACAAGTTATCGTTCGCATTAGCAAAAGACGAACATTGCAAAACCATGTACAAATGCGCGCTCTACGTTCTTACATGCGCTTGAATGTCCTTAACTGGACAATTATGTAGCGAACAACTTCCTCTAAGGTGGCCGCCTTGTTCTTCATAAAGCTCCATAGTTGGGGCACAACATAAGATCCACTTGGGTCATAACTTTGAAGTACTTTTAAGGCGGTAATAACAGCATCATAGGCTTCATGTCCCCATTTATACTCAAGGCCACGTAACAACTCATCGTCCTTGTTCACTACCCACTGCATTGATGATAGAACACCAGTAATTTATTTACTCATAAGATCTTACAAGTATTCTTCTGTTAGTGGCCAAATTCATAATTCTTTCTTGCAAAAAATTGTAACGTGAAGCATGAAAAAACAATTTGATCGATAAGGATTGAACAAGTTAAAGTAAAAGTGAGAAAACTTGGGCACCAATTTCTCGAATAAGAACACATGACAACTAAGAGGGATGTCAAAATGTATGCAAAAAATCAAATGGATCAATAGTGATTGTCTAGTTAAAGAAAAATGAGATGAGATGGGATGTGACTTGGAGCCTACCTGAGGCTCCCATCTTTTGTACTCAACGAACGTGAATGGGTTCCATTCTGGATTTTTCAGCTTCTCTTGCCACAAGGAGCAAAGTTCATCGGCCATGATCTCAGGTTGTTCGAGTGGGAACCTTAGGCTGCATGCATTTCTGAAGTCTTTTGTATCTATTTTAGCTACTCTTTTTGTCCCCATTATGTGATTGCTGCTAATGATCAGCAAATTATACAATCCCTGACAATGAGCAACACACCAATTTTGTTTCACGTCAGAATTTGCAGCCGATTTTTTCAGTTATTAGGGTGTACAAAAAATTACTATCTTTACTGTAAACATACCACGATCAGCTTTTTGAACCCCTCCTGCCTCGGCTTAGACATCATCTCTATCTTTTGCCAAATATCATCACAATTCTCATCAGCATCTCCCATTTTTTTCATCATCTCTAACTTTGCTTCAAGTAATTCAATTTCCAGTTCCAGTCTTTGCTTCTCACGTTCGAAACTCCTCTCAAGTTCGACAACCTTCCGGAGGGCTGCCTCCTTTTCTCTCTGCAAAAGTTTGTATTTTACGCATGCCACAGTACACGAAAGGCAATGGAGCTGGTAATAGTTTATTACCTGTTCAGGCTTGAACAAATCCCGAGCAATCATAGAAAGATGTCTTGTTTGCATCTTGGCTTTAGCCTGACAGGAACACAAAAAACATACATAAACTCTGTCAGGAAAAAAAAAAAAAAAGATATTAAGACATTATAAGAAGATCCACCTTAGTGTCCATGACAATGAAGCTGAAAATTCAAATATGATAACTGCGCAACTCAGCAGCAAGGCCAACAAGATACATGCAATTTGACCAAAATAACCATTTTTTATTATTGGTGAACCTATAAAGAAACTCATTTTGAAGCCGGAGGATATTCTTTGCATTGGAAGTGTAAAATGCTGGACATGTCTGCATATAAAATGTAATACTTATAACATGAGGCATGAGCAAAAACTAACCATTGCACTCTCGGCACGAAGTTTTAATCTCTCACTTTCGATTAATGCTTTACGCTTCGTCAGTTCTTCACTCTCGGCACGAAGTTTTAATCTCTCACTTTTGATTAATGCTTCACGCTTTGTCAGTTCTTCACTCCATGAATGAAGCCTTCGCTTCTCATCATCCAACACTTCCCGTAGCTCGTACACCTTAGCATGCTCCTTTAAGATACTTTCCAGCTTTCTTATTTCTATTTAACAAGAAGGATAGAACAGAAATTTACCTTTTCCGGTATCCAAAAGTTTACTTATTTTTCGGTTTTGGTACCTTAAGTTTTAGTACCTAAATTTCGAATATTAATCACATTTAGTACATCCCATTAGTTGAAGCATGATTAACTGAAGCTTTAGCCATTGGATTTTCACAAAAAATACATTATCAGAAAGAATCATTTTCGAAGTATTCAACATACATCTCGATCATATCGGAACTTTGTAACATAACAAACAGACCAACAAAGTTTCCTGCAGCAATTCTTCATCGACGAATAGAAATGTATATTTCATGAAACAGATAATTCTTTTTTTGAAACATCGATCAATTATCGTAAAGTAGCAAATGTGGTTAACGAACAAAACAAAGGGTACCAAAATCAATTAAATTGAAATTCGGTTAACCAAAAATAAAAAGCGTAACGAAAATAGAGATATACTAATTAAGTTTTTCCCATAATAGAACATGGAATGACAGCCAAACCAACCTTCAGAAAACGCATGGCAGAGATGGTCTCTCTCTTGAAGCATAATTTTTTCTTCAAATTCAGAATCACTAGCATTAACATGCGGGCCTCCTCCCATCTGATATACATATTACAATGACGTAATAAAAACAAAAATTACTACACAGTACATAATTTCCTTTGGAAGTATACAAGGCTTATTTTTTCTATATTTTTTATTTCTTAAAACGAAATAAAAATAAAGTTCACAGCAACATTAACATCCTCAGTTTACAACGAAAATTAGATAGAACCGAAATAGAAATGAACCTAATCACTCCTCCTCAATCGTAGCTTCAGCTTGATCCAGAAATTACTACACAGTAGTATATATTTTCTAGGCCTTTTAAGAAGCTAGTACTATGATTTTTCTTGGAACTTCAAAGGTTGTTGATAATTTTAATGGCAAACGTCTCTTTAACTTCTAACCAATAGGATTTATGACAAACCATGAATTGTCTCATGGAGGAAAATAAAAAAGAATTGTCCAGTTAATCAAAATCATTGTTTTTCAACCCGGACCGACCTGGCGGCCGCGGGTCGACCCTAGACCCGACCAACCCGGAGCTGGAACCGTCCAGGTGGGCAATTTGGACCCGGTAACAATGGACCCGGCCAACCCGGCCTTGACCCGGTCGGGTCAACCCAGTTGACCGGGTCCATTTTTTTTTTTTGAATATTTTTTATCTAAAAAAATAAAAACTACGTAAATATATTGATATAGTAAATATTTATTGTGAAATACAATTCTCTTAACACTTTGATGTACAAATTTTATATACAAAACATTTATTTTTGTTACTTTTATGTATATTTATATGTCAAAAATACCATATATAATTTTAAAAATTTTAAAATTAATTATCCTGTTCAATAATTGACCCGATGACCCGGCAGTTGAACCGGTGACCCGGTGACCCATAGACCTGCCCGAGTCGATTTCCTGGCCGGGTTTAAAATCTGTGATCAAAATTGACACCAATCTATAATTCTAAATTATTATCCACTTGAAAGTATTATAGCTTATTCTTCATCTCAGAAACTCAGGAAAACACGGTAAGAAAACAGAGTTTGCAAGCATCACCAAGAGCACAAAGTCAACCTTATAAAAATAAGCTCGGTCTTTTCATAATTCAACACTTACCATCTTTCAATCTGTATTACTTCCTTCTTTTTCTGCAAATCCAAAGCAAAAAAATCAGATAAAAGAAAATTAGAGAAAAGCCAAATGGCGGCTTATGCAGCTCTAGTTTCTCTTTGGCATGTCATAGACCAAGTCCAGCATCATAGCCGCCCTCCGGTTTCTCTCGACAAAATTCAAGCTGCATCTATCACCGAAAACATTGCTTTCTTGCAAGAATTTCTCGAGAGTTGTCCCATTAATATCGGCAATGAAGAACACAAAGATGCTCTGGAGACTCGTATTTCTCGTGCAGCTTATGCAGCAGAAGATATAATCGAATCCCACATAGTTCATCAAATTAAAGCTGAATCCAATTGCACAGCTGAAAACGAGGAAAACGTCATCTCAGTTGATTTGTATCCAAATCTAGAGGAAGTTATACAAGAAATGGATTTGATCAAGCGAGATGTTATGGGAAAAAAACACAAGTACAACCAGCTGCACAAAAATCCATTCCCGGCTATGTCACTAGGATCTCCTCTTCCCATAGAGCATAGCACAATGATTGGCTTTGATGATGTCATGTTTGATGTCATGAATAAGCTCACTCATGGACAAGAGCACACACTCCGAATCATACCCATCGTTGGCATGGGTGGCATCGGTAAGACAACACTAGCCAGAAATATTTATGTATATCCGTTTATTTTAAATCGATTTGATTTCCGTGCTTGGGCCACCATTTCTCAAGCATACAATGTTAAAGAAATTTTATTACAAGTCGTACTCTCTTTAGAAACCAAAGGGGACCCGGAAGACCTGACTCAAATGAGGAACGAGGCCTTGACTCGGATGAGTGAACATGAATTAGGAGAGAAACTGCATAAAATTTTATCAGGCTGGAGGTATCTAATAGTAATGGATGACATGTGGAGTGTCGAGGCGTGGAATAAGGCAAAGTTCTTCTTTCCAGACAATAACAACGGAAGCAGGATAATGATAACCACCAGGATATCAAACCTGGCTACCGAGTTAACCGGTTCAGATGCCGTCAACATGAGTTTTCTAAATGAGGACCAAAGTTGGACTCTACTTTGCAAGAGAGCTTTCGGGCTCGAAAATTGCCCCGCCGAACTTGAAGAAACCGGAAAGAAGATCGCCAACAACTGCAAGGGGCTTCCTCTGTCAATTGTCGTGATAGGAGGATTCCTGGCAAAGTCCGAACCGACAAAACAACAATGGAATTACATTGCGGAAAATCTAAGCTCGATCGTGAATTCAGAGTACGACGAGCATTGCTTAAAAATATTGCACATGAGCTATGACCAGATGCCGGTTCACTTAAAACCATTATTTCTCTACACCGGCGGCATTTTCCCGGAGGACAGCGAGATAGATGTCTCCAGACTCATCAAGCTGTGGATGGCCGAAGGTTTTCTTAAACCAATTTGCGGCAAAAGATTAGAAGCAGCTGCGGAGGATTACCTGAATGACCTTATCGGCAGAAATCTCGTTACAGTTTGTAAGTTGGGGTCTGCAGGGAACGTCAAAACCTGCACGGTACACGATCTCTTGAGGGACCTGTGCGTGAAGGAAGCCGAGAAGGACGAGTTTTTCCACGTGCAAGAAACAACACATATATCAGGAGCTCCATACGGCATGCACGACAAGCGCCGTGTAACTATTATTCACAGAAGCACGTCGAAAATCGAGAACTTTGCTCAAACAGTTGACGCCGTGCAATCCGCATCGCTCGCACGTTCACTGTTATGCCATGTAAGGGGAGTCATACCTAGGCTTTCGTTTAGACTGCTGAGGGTATTGGATTCGGTTGATGAATCTGGGTACATCGAGAGAAGAATGAGAGCATGTTCCCTGGAGGATTCTTTCCGGTCGGTCAACTTGCGGTATATTGCCACAACAATTATAGCCGGAGCCGAAATTCCCGCCTCTATTTACTGCCTCTGGAATTTACAGACGCTAGTTGTGAACCATTTGCGAGGGGACAACACGGCCGTGCCTCTTGATATCTGGCGGATGACTCAGCTCAGACACGTCAAGTTCGATCAGCTTCACCTCCCTGATCCTCCAGGTGGCAGCATTCTGTTGGGCGGCCTGGAGAACCTCCGTACGCTCCGAACGGTGAGGAATTTCAGGTGCGGCCAAGATGTGGCAGAGAGGTTTCCGAATTTAAAGAAACTGGGGATAGAATACGATGTTTTTGGGGGATTCTCTGCCTACTGTCCCGAAAACCTCTGCCTGCTGAACAAGCTGGAGTCACTCGGTTGTTCCTTTTACGCGGCCTATGTGCCGATGCAGGGTGAACTGGTGCAAAGGATTAGATTCCCACGTTCGCTAGTGAAGTTGAGCCTGAGCGGGACAGGGCTCCCGTGGGGTGAACTGGGGGACAGGGTCGGGTGGCTGCCTCATCTCCGAGTGCTGAAGCTGAAGTTGAAGTCATTCGTGGGGCCTATGTGGGAGACATCCGAGGGCCAGTTTCGGAGCCTGAGGTTCTTGCTCATTGAGTTGTGTTTTGACCTAGAGCAGTGGATGACGAACGGGGCCCACTTTCCGTGCCTCGAGCACCTTGTACTTCGGGAGTTGTTCAGGCTGAAGGAGATCCCTGTGGATATAGGAAATATACCTACGCTCAAGTCGATTCAGCTGGACAATTGTAGTGATTCGGCGGTCATTTCTGCTTGGAGTATACTCGAGGAGCAGGAGGAACTCGGAAATGAAGGCCTTCGTATTCGGGCTCGTACATTGGGAATATAAGGAATAAGATAACAGTCGACTGCTAACAGTACAAGCATTGTTATCAAATAGCATTACAGCGTGGGGGATTTCTGCCAAACCGCGATGCTAAATTTGTGAAGGATGGCGATTATAGCTGCGCCATAGGCAATGGCGGATTTTTCCCTGCCACCAGTTACCACCATCCGCCATTAATGACACAAATGTATTAGTTCTATTTTCATTACTATCATCACATCCACCCTTCCTAAATCTATACCCAAATGAAAAGGCGAAAATTAATTTAATTATTTAATAAGTAAAATTTGAAATAAATTAATATGCGATTAATTTTTGTGGATTATGTTTTGGTTACTGATCGCATAATTTAATAACTCGAATTTTTCAAAGCAAATTCATCATTCGAACAGTCGTTAAATTGTCACATATCAATAAATAATACATAAATGATTGTGATGCAACTTGAAACGTTAGATATGAGTATGAATACTACAAGAACGAAGTCCACAAATTTCATTCACATCTCTACGACTAGGTATAACAAAAAAATTTGAATGCATTCTGTTTTTTTTAATTGTTAAGATCGTCTATATCTTTGCATCTCGATCGCAGGTTCATGTTATTAATTTCATACTTCTCGTTTTTTATTAGCGTATGCTCGATCAGTTCATACAAGTTGTCGTCTCTATCGTTTTTCATCCAATTTCTCTGGTTGTTGATCCCGGACCGGTCCAAGATCCTCCACCTTATTGCTTTAAGAATTTTTATTCTTATAAACTTTGGGTATTTAAGATGTTGAAAAACTTCATTCACGTGGTTCTCCAGAAAGAACGACCTTTCTAGGGCTTACACGAAAAGTTGATAATTGAGGAGAAAGTAGAAAAATGTAAAAACGATGCAAGAGTTGATCTGCGGCTCAAATTCGACAGACTCGCTATTGACAAAACTGTTCACACAATTCGTTGCATATATTTTATCCCACAATTTTCCACACTTCCTCAAATAACTTTGCTTGTAGACTTGTAGTAGTTCACATATTTTATCATATAATGAGATCTCACTTGCTCAATTATTTTCGTCTTTATGTCGCGTAATTTATCTTACAATTATTTCGTAGTTGTTTGATTAAACTCGTCTCCCTGGAGCATAGTAATTTATCTCTTAGTGAGATCACATATGCTTAATTATATTCGCATTTCTGT